TTTAATTTAGCACTATTAGCTGGTTTTACGTTATTAATGAACAATAAATGAGGAGTGTTAAGGACATTTCAGGTGTCATGTTACCTTTACCAAGTCAATTCTTGTGTTTCCACAGTGGAGATAAAAGCTCCGTTGATTACAGCAGTTATGTCTGCAGACCAGACCGTTGCAGGTCCTGTTCAGAAATAAATCAAAGCTCATTGGTCGTGTGCATTCACATCAAAACCCAACTACTATTTACAAAAGAGAATAACTAAATACACAAACACGGGAATCTTCACCCTTGAGTGGTAAGACCCAATGGTGTTGATTAGCCCAAGTGATCTGCTACAGCTGCTCCAACTCCAAGGCCACTGGCAACTCAAAGAAAAACATATTAAATAATATAAACACCTAAAACCGATAAGTAACGGAAGGAGGAATGCAGACAGATGCTGTGAAAACCCGACCTACCCCCCCGCCTTCGGATTGGTGGACTTCAGCCTGGCGAGGTCATCAACCTGCAGGTGTCAATGTGCTCTGCGCTCCTCCCAAGATCTCCCTCCCACCTGTGGCTACAGTGGCTGAGCGCCATAGGGCTGCCCCCCCCCCCCCCCCCCTCCTCTCGGTGTCTCATGTTGTGAATTGTTGATGTGCGTGCTTATATGTTTGAGGCGGTTTTTTTTTTGTTTTTGTTTTTGCGTAGTAAAGCTACGCCTTGCCGGGAGTAACTCTGGTGTGCCTTTTTTTTCCCCTCCCCCAGTTTATCCTCATGTAATCCCCTTTTCATCTAATTAACGGTAGCGCGACTCTTGTTGCGAATGACCACAGTACCAATTCTTCTGTACTGAAACTATTGCCCCTCTGGGATGATTAAAGTTTTTTTGAATTTGAATTTGAATGTGTGCACTCCATACAGTAACCTAAACAGTCAATCCATAGAAACAAAACACTCACATATTCAAAATAAAACATTACCAGACAGCCATTCACTTGAGGTGTGACAGCAGGGCAGCTGTCACAGTGCCTTATGAGTCTTTTAGAAAAGCTATGATGCTCCTGTTCTTAGATGCAGAAATGTACTGGTGGGAAGATGGGCTGAAAACAGCTGGATGGCTCATTATTAATATGGATATGTACATACCTCACTTCTGATTGGCTAACAGAACACAACACGTTCAGCCATGTTGCAAAGTCACTAACGCCAAGACACTCTCCGCTCTCTCTCCTCGCTGCAAAAACGATTTTAAAGTCTTCCTGTAGGCGGCTGCAAGCCAAGATGGGTCAGGCCATGAATGCTTATTCACAGTGTGACATCACAGTGTGAGGATTTTCTAATCCCAGCATTTCACCATCTATTTTCTATCAGAAGTTAACACAGGAGATGGGAGTAGAAGACCGTTTTTATGTTAAGCCTGCATGAAAAACTCAGAGTGACCGATTATAATCAGAAATAGTAATTAAATGGTAAATGGCCTCTATTTGATATAACGCCTTCTAGAGTCCTGGAACCCCTCAAGGCGCTTTACAACACAATCAGTCATTCACCCATTCACACACATTCACACACTGGTGGGGGTGAGCTACAATGTAGTCACTGCTGCCCTGGGGCGCACTGACAGAGGCGAGGCTGCCGAGCACTAGAGCCACCAGTCCCTCCGACCACCGCCAGCAGGCAATGTGGGTTAAGTGTCTTGCCCAAGGACACAACGACAGTGACAGACTGAGAGGAGCTCGAACCTGCAACCTTCCGATTACAGGGCGAGCACTTAACTCCTGTGCCACCGTCGCCCCAATTAAAAAAAATGTTTTTCTCACTCAGCCACACCTTTAACATTCATGGACATGGACAGGGAAGGCTGTTGTTGTTTTAACGGCCAGAAAACAGCAGAGAACATCTGTTAGGAGAAACTAACTGTTAGCATTAGCAACTCCACCACACAGCAGAACTCCTCCAGGCTTGTGTTATTTGTGGAGATAAAACAACATTACAGAGCAAACAGAGTCAGTGGTAGAGTCACGTTAGCCAATCAGAGGAGAGATGTCCAAATAACAGGAAATAAGACTCAAAATCCTGTCGTTTGAAGCTACTTTCTCCTCCAGCTGACTTGTACTTCCTGATTCAGGTGCATCTGAGCTTTCTTCCCCCGGAGTACAACTTACAAGGCATTCACTCCTGCTAGAGACCACTGGAAATGTATTGATTAAACGACTGTTCAACACCTTTAAGGAAAAGGTATTAAGAGGGCTGCAAATTTCAAATGAACACACGAAGTACAATGATTTCTCTATGAAAGATGCCAAACAGTCAAAAACATGAATAAATGAACTAGTAGATTTTCTCTACTCACATCAAAGAAGCTACTGGCTTTCATGACCACTTAAACTGGACCGCGCAGACAGGATTTCACTCATTGGAAATCATATCATGTATTTACCACACAGAAAGGGTTTTAATGTTTAAATGATGAAATGTATCAGATTATATTAAATATCATTCCAAATTAAAAGGGTGAAAAAGAGCTGAACGCTTTCCCGTATTGCATCACAAACTCACCAGCTCTTTATCAGTCATTCAAAGTTTCGAAACGGAATAATAATCCAGGTTCGTAATTGCTTTTTAAATTTTCTCATTACTTCACAAAATAACGGCATCTGACTGTAATTTTCCATTCAGCTCACAACGATCCAGGTGAAGCGTAGGACATCGGTTTGGGATCAACGTTGGAGAAGACAAAAGAGCGAGCCCAACAAACACTGGAAGTGATTGGGTATTCTGAGCTGCTCCTTCCACTCAGAAATTATACACCAGGGCAGGACTCTGGTGTTCCAGCAAATTACGTTTGTAAAAGTTTCAGAAGTGAGCTTTACAAGATGCTAGTCCTCACAGCTCAGTTTTTTTTTTTCCTTCAGCAACTTTTAAATTGAGCAATGAGACCAGAGTCGCCCAAGCAAGAGACGGCTCGAATCAGGCCCACTGTTGGATGTTCTCACTGCCTCCTGAATCACAAGTGACAATTAGAGCAAAGATTTTTAGATCACGTACTCTGCAAGTGGAAGATCTCTGCCGAATTCATTCGCAGAATGTCGATATGCAGAGAGAAGTATCTGACTTCACTTGAAGCACAGAAAACGGGTCTTCTGCAGGAAAGAAAATTAAAATGAAGTAAAATCATAAAGAAACTGATTAATGTGTTCATTTTAATTGTCTGCAGTGGTGTGGTAAAGGTTTTGGTCTTCAAAAACAACTTTAAGTAGCACTAGTCGTAAACAACCCTGCTGTAGCTAGCGCTAACAATGAGCTAACACTAACATGAGCCGACAAATACTAAAATAAACCACAAAGTTAAAAGATCCACACTGTTGGAAAAATATATCATTACAAGTCCAGTAGCAACAAAGCCAGGCCACCATCAGCCTGTGATTTTGTAGTCTTCTTTGGCTCCTTCAAACTAGCGAATACAGCGCCGATGTTCACTCTGGTTTTTTAGCTCTCTGCTTTAACTCCAAAGACATTACTCTCTTACTTTTACTTCCAGGCTCCGCCATGATGCCAACGGAAAAATCAAACTTCTACCTTTTCTTCTTGTGCTTTTTGTTGACTATCAGCTAACTGAAAATGCCAACCAATAGCATTTCGGCTAACAGCCATAAAGCAGGTAGAGAGCGCCTCCTATAGGGCGCCTATCTGATCCACAAAACTGTCAAGGGCAGTTTTTGATCAGCAGAAGGGGGGGGGGGGGGGTCAGATATGAAAGCGGTCAAATTTCTAACTCATCAATCACTGAGATCAATGTTAAAGCTCTAGCTTAAAGTTTAAAAACGATTTAGTGTTACATACATGTCAGGAAAGCAGTAGCTCAGGAAGTAGAGCTGGTTGTCCAGTAATCAGAAGGTTGCAGGTTCAATCCTGGCACCGACCAGAAAATGCTGCTGTTGTGTCCTTGGACAAGACACTTAACCTGCTCATGGTTGTCGAAGGGACCGGTGGCGCCAGGGTCAGTGCGCCCCAAGGCGGCAGTGGCTACATCGTAGCTAATCATCATCAGTGTGAGTGTGTGAATGACTGATTGTGTAGTGAAGCGCCTTGGGGGGCTGTTGAACCCTAAGAAGGTGCTATACAAATACAGACCATTTACATCTTCAGATTTTGGTGTTAACTCAAAACAAGATGGCCTCCAGACCTAAAAGGTTTAACCAGTAAATAATTACTGTAAATAACTCAAATTTACAGATGTTGATCTAAAACGTGATGTCAGAGTAGCTGAAAATCGTCCTTTTAGCATGAACCGATCACGCCAGATATGTTTAAAAGTTGGTCATTAAATGCTGAAGCCAACCATGACTGTCCATAAATTATCTCTTAAAGCAGTTAGTTTGAAAAGTTTTCCTCAGAATCACATCAACTATTGATTAACTAACTTTTGTAATAAAACCATATTCAAGATGGCTGCCATGGCCAAGTGACCTTAAAATACACAGAAATGGCTACAGCTTCCAGCCAGCTTTATAGATATTAAGCCAAACCTGTCTCAGTGAACTGTTGGGAGTTTCTCAGCAAAAGGTTTCATGAACCACTGAAAGGATTTTAAAGAAACTCTAACATAGATCTTTAGATGTTCACACAAGTTTCCAACCAAGTTGCAGGTGGTTGCCATGAGCAACTGACTTGAGAAAACACATAACATTGCTACAATTTTAGAGGTGTTGAGCTAACATGTTATGAGTTAATAGCCGAGAGACATTCACAACATGGGCTCTGAGTGCTAGCAGCATGAGGTCTAACTATAGTGCTCGAGGTTATTTCCAAGATTCCCCCAGAATCGCTGTAGCGCCATCATTTGTCATCCTACGGTTATGCAAGTGTAAGGCTTTGGCATAAAAAGCAGCAGGTGATGTGGGGGAACATTTTTTACTGCATTTTTTATTTCTTTTTGTTTGCTTCCCTTCGTACACCTCCTATGTCTTCTAGAATGAATGTTTCACTTTTTTTTTTCTTTTCTTTTTTGTCTGTTCTCCAGGATACCAGAGGGTCAGGCAGAAGTTGGGTCCCTGGCAGCTGGAAGACTTCGCTCCCTGGAGGACCAGCTCACCCGGGCCAAACAGAAGATCCACAGCTTCCAGAAACTCACCGGAGATGGTAAATATCATATACATGAAAGGTTTGGTGCAGAGTGTTGGAATAGCATAGCATGTATGTGCTCTGGCTATTTAAATATGATATGAAGCCGTTCAGCTGCCTGCAGGGTGAATGTCACTCCAGACCTGTGTTAAACCTGCTGTAGCCCAGCAGTGATGATGGTGCATGCAGCCATACAGCCTCATCTACAGTACGCAGGGTCATGTGTGTGTTTGCAGTTCTAAGCAGTGGTCAGAGGGGCAGGAAAGCTGTCAGGTGAGTGGGGAAACGTGTGAATGAAGTGGAAGTAGTGTGAATCCCCTCTGGCAATGTAAGGGAGTGAGAGGAGAGGAAAAGACAGGGAGAAAACTGAAAAGGACATGTGAGCGTGGAGGGCAGCACAGGGTCAGTCCCTCCATCTTGCTGCAGGGGGAAGAAAAAGCCAAAAATACCCTCCAGCTTTTTATCCCCCAAGCGTTGGGGCAGAGAGGGGAGAGGCTCCACCATTATCGTCACAGTCTCTTTCCGCTCCAGGCCGTTTCTTTTTTCTGTTCCTCCACAGAAACCAGAGCACGGAACCACGTTACCCATGTAGGCAGTTCCACGTTTGTTTGTCTCGGAAGGGGTATAGAGTTCCTGTGTGTGAAAAACATGAGAGAGGCCACGCACAAAAGCAGTGATCAAGTGTTTCTTAATGAGGTCAGAGTAACACCCAGGGACAGAGAATGAAAGAAGAAAAACTTTAATGGTTATGTTCCTGAGTCCTGCTTTGTGCCAGGAGGTTATTAATGCTTACACGGTGCAAAGTCCTCCTCACATCAGTTCCTACCTCGTTTCTTCCTGTGAAGCGACTGTTGATTCAGTGCCTTAGATCCAACCTGCCCCTGAAATGCAACACCAACCGTGGGTCTTTGTTTTATTGGAGTGTTCTTGTGTATTTTGAGCTGTTAAACCTCAGCCCCCCCCCCCCCCCCCCCTCCCCCTCCCTGCAGGCCCCGGGCCCACTCAGGAGGAGCTGCGGAGAAAGGCGGAGAATGGCGTTAAGGAGTTCTGGTACTTTGTGCGCAGTGAGGTGAAGAAATTGTCCAACGTCGAGGCCAGCGAGAGGCAGAAATATGCTGACACACTCCTGCAGGACCTCGGACACCAGGAGAGGTGAGCAGTAGTGGCACCAGAGGCTGCTGTTTGGGTTCTGTCTTCAAGGGAAGCACCGTACAAAGCCCGGACCACACTGCGTTTTTCCAGCTGTCGCACGGCACTGCTCACGTGAGAACTCCTGAGAAGTGGAACACTGTATGGTCCAAGATGTCAGTGAGGCAGACTGCACGACGTCTTACTTTAGTAGGACGTTACGTCATGAGTGCACCCCCCGAAAAGCACACGTCACTAAACAACACCAAAACAACGCTGAATAGGGAAAAAGGTGCCACCGTAAACACTTCTTTTGCTAGATTAGACACATGTTCCTATGTGTAGCTTCCACTGTTGCTAATGCTGCTAACGCTACTCTCGTATCGTGCACCTGTCACTAGCTGTTTGCTTCTCTCCCTTCGTGTATTTTCATTGGTTGATTGCAGACAGGAATCGCAGGTTTTGAAGAAGATGATGCTGGAGGCTGATTTTGGTCATGAGGGTGCTCATTAACCCTTTAGAAATAGAAAACAGATTGGAATAAATACATCAAAATGTAGAAAAAAATGAAATAAAATAAAGAAGTAAAATATTTTGGATATATGTATGGATAGAAGGTAGGGCTGAACGATTTTGGAAATTAACTGCCATTTTTCTCCAATATTTCAGTTGCGATTTAATTCAAGAATATTTTCTCAAGGAGCTTTTCTCATATTTTCAACTAATGGAAGCAAGAAAAAATAATCTATGTAACTTGTACTGAATCGAAACAAGTGTATGCATCATACATTTATCTACATATATCAACAAGTTTATTCGTCTACATAAACACTCACAAACAGGTCTCTTACAGTTTTCTAGCTTTACTAAAATATCTGTCTGTACTTATTTGGTTGATGGGACATCACTCCTGTTTTATCGTCACTGCACTGGCTTCCTGTCAATTTTAGGGTTCATTTTAAACTTCTTTTATTTGTTTTTAAGTCTTTAAACGGTCTTGCCCCACCCTACCTCTCTGAGCTATTGCACGTTCACTCCTCCTCTCGGTCGCTCAGGTCATCTGATCAGTTGCTCCTGGTCGTTCCAAGGACACAGCGTAAGCTCAGAGGGGATAGGGCCTTCGCTGTTGCTGCTCCCAGGCTATGGAGCTCTTTGCTGGCACATATTGGAAAGGCCTCTTCACTGGAAACTTTTAAATCATCTTTAAAGACCCACTTTTTTAGCTTGGCTTTTAACACTGTATAAAGTTTGGATTTCTATTTGATTTTAGTGTTTTTGTCTTAGTGTGCTTTTAATTTTATACTGTATTCTATGTTATTCTGTTTTATGCTTTTATGTTTTATGTTCAGCACGTTGGTCAGCAAGGGCTGTTTTTAGAGTGCTTTAGAAATAAAGTTGGCTTGGCTTGGCATGGCAGTTTTCACTTTCCATTAGACTCCAAATGTAATCATTTGGCACGTTCCCAATTCGTAATTTGTAAGAATGTAATCAACGATATTAGCATTAGCATCCCTATGGGTTCTTCCGTGTATATTAGCATTGTGCTAACCACTCACTACTGCCAGTCAAATCGCAGCTTTTGCGATTAGAAAATCTCCTTTTGTCACATTGCAATTTAATTGCACGTGCAATTCACCGTTCAGCCCTAATAGAATGTCACTTTGGGTTTTCAAACTTAATTAGCAGCTGTTTGAAATGGGTTGTGACACCAGTGTCACCACAGGTCCTTAAGGGTTAGGCTGTCGCTGAGCCGGTCACACTGGATGGCCACGATTCACCGTTTTTTGTCACGGTTATGTTCATGAAGAGGGACGATCAGTGTGGTCCGGGCTTAACAGGAGTGTGGCCTGGAACCCTATTTGCACTGTTTCCTGGGTAAGAAAGAGCAAAGATCAAGGACACACCCTCTCTCTTCTGAAATCAGCTGAGTAAACTTTACTAAGTGTTCCTGTTGCAAGTCTCCCAACAGGGTCTATCGTTTTTCTTCATTCCTGCCTAAGTAGCTTTGCAAACATACGTCCTCTCACCACATACACGCGGTTTCAAACAAAAACCATATTTTCACCTGTGTTTACTTTTTATCCCAATCTCCTTTCCACAGATTAACCAGTTTTTCCCTGAGACAAATGAGCCAGCTCAGATGAAAGCAGGTGGAAAAAGCAATAAAATGAACAAATGCACAGCGTCCTCATTTACATTCTGCTCAGAACGGGCATGGGAGAGAGGGATACCGTCCTCGCCCTTAATGTTTCCTAAGTAAAATTCTAATAAAGCATTCAGCTTGTAGTACTGAAGTCTATACCTGGTCCTCTAGTCAAAACGAACACCTCTC